TTTTCCCACAATTTCAATCAACCAATGAAATTTCCGCCACCGCCAATGCGCGGATAGATTGGAAAGAGACATCGGAGGCCCATGTTTTCAAAGCCGATCTTCTGGGACTGAAGAAAGAAGAGGTGGAGGACGTTAGGGTTCTGCAAATTAGCGGTGAGAGGACGGTGGAAAAGGAAGACAAGAATGATAAATGGCATCGGATTGAGAGAGGAGAGGCAAATTTCTCAGGAGCTTCTATTTACCGAAAATGCTAAAACTGATGAAGTGAAGGCAACTATGGAGAATGGTGTTCTTACTGTAACTGTTCCTAAGCAGGAGGTGAAGAAACCTGAGGCCAAGACTATTAAAATCACTGGCTGAATTATTTTCAACTGTTCCAAAGTTTGGATTGTTGTTCTGCTTTTGTTTGTTTGTTTAATGATGTTTGTTTCTGTATGTGGAACTTTGTGTCATTTTGATGAATATTTGTACTTCCGATAATGTGTAATATGTTTTCTGGGTTGTAATGAATAAAAGTTGCATGGCCTCTTAAAACAGTGTTAACATTTTTTGAAAAATCTATTTTTTTGGGATGGGATAATATTGATGTACAGCTTAGAGCGTGATTAAGTGCCAATGTCAAATTCTCAAATTGGATTTAGTTTCATATTTGGGTCCATATATGAAAATTTTCTAAACTCGTATTAGATGGTCAATAAAAGAGTTGTGACACAGAATTTCCCCCAAAATTAGATAGAAAAAAGGCAAACAAAGGACACGCTTGTGGAGGCGAAACTGCGCAGCTTTTCAATCGATTGGCCAAGCATAAGATGCACGTTGCAACGTAGTGCCCGCAATTGCCCTACATCTAGCCGGTTGACACGGAACTGGCTCGAATTGAGATAGTCGAAAGGCAAAATGAAGCTGGACAAAGAGCTTGCTTTTGCCTTTTCGCATGCCCAAGTCCTAGGCGGGGACCTCGATAACTCTATGAGTCTAGGTGTGCATTTTAAAATTGTGGTTACAAGACACATGAACATCCCAAACGAGAGCATTCACGATTTTGAAAATAATCAAAGCACTCGTTTTTCTCCATTTTGTTTCTCAGCTCAATTTATTCTTCAAATCTTCTACGGCTTTCATCTACTATCCACAAAGAGTTGCACTAAGTTTATGCTATGTTTGCATTTAAACTAATTTGTAGAAATTCATTACTAAGTAATTATGATATTTATGATTTTGATTTTTTTTTTTTGTTGAAAACCTGAAATTTTTAAGTTTCATAAATTTTGAAGGCGTGTGTTTTTTTTGTTGTCTAGAATAAATAAAAAAATATTAAAATAGGACAATACTTAATCATTCTTAAATTTGTAAGGTTTGAGACTTGACGTCCACGTCACCTTTTAGAACATTTATTGGAGGTGATGGTTTCTAATTTGGATTTGGCGACGACAGTGCCACAAAAAGTGGCTATGAAACGGAAGTTATTGTTTTTATAGAAATTCTTGTTCCAAACTTTAATGAATTCCGTTAACTAGCAATTAAGGCAGCCTTTGTGCCCATTTATCTTCTGTCATCTAGAATTCCATTATATAATAATTTCGAATATGACAAAAAACAGTGCCAATTATAAGTGTACCGCATTGGCCATTTTTGTCCGTTTGAATTCCATTACTTGAGAACTCAAAATTTAGTAGAAAAACAGTGGCAAATTATACACGTTGACTCTAGGCAGGGATACCATTGTCTTCTCCTATATATTGTAATGGCAAAAAACATTATAA